GTGGAATTTGTGTCGTTCAGGAACAATGTAAACTCTTCGTTGATATATGTTTTCATAATACCCAGCTGGCACCAGTCTCGGTTAGCGTAATCCAAATCTGCAGGCAGCAAGCTCGTACTCAATAAAGCTGGTAATTTTCTAAAGATGGGAAGGACCGCACTATGGGGCAGATAACTTGTGCCGTACCTAGCATATCGTGTTCCCAGATAGCGTACACTTCAACTGTGATATTATCAACAAGGAAGTCGAAGCTATCGTCAGCAGTCACCAGGTCCACAAGTTTAGCGTACATTTCCACGATGGTGTCCCTCGTTTCGTTCTCGCTACGTTCGTCATCCATAGGCCGAACGAGAACAAAGGACGCTTCTACCCGACTGTCGCCCAGGCCAGGTTTGCCGAAAAAGGAAACTTCCGTTGGACTTGGCGACGTCGAAGGCTCACTGCCTAGCTGTAGACCAAAGCTACCTTCTGGTTCCCTATTCTTGTTGTATTCACTTTCCGGGAACTGAGCCTCCCAGCTTTCGCGCTCCATGGATAGGTTATGGTACAGTTCAATGAAGTCCGGCACGGTAACGTTTCGGACGCGGTCAGGGCGCAGGTGGAGAACTTCGGCAAGGTTCTCACGAAGGACCTCTTCCACCCTTCGCTCGAAAGAATAGTCTGCGCCTCTAGCCAAAAACTGCCAGTTGGTATCCTCTGCCAGCCCCAAAGCCACAAAGATGGTGGCTTCGGTTGCGTTGACTGGAATGGCGATCTGCTTCCTGACTTGCTTGCGTAGGCATTCGTTGTATTCGGCTTCCGTCTGGTTGGTCGGACACAAGGCCGGTCGGCAGATATGTCCGAAGGGATCGTAGACTGCATCTGGAAAACCATACTTAGACATCGCAAAGTATCTTATCATCTCGTACGGTGGTGTCCAACAGGGACCTAGATCTTACTTGGAATTTCACGGCAGTCATCTTGCTTGTCGTCATTTGAGGCCGTCCATTGCACACTGCCATCAATCCCAAAATTCATTAGCACAGAGATTGGCTTCGGTCTGAAGCAACATTCGTCGTCCTGAGGCGCCGAAGGCCTACTAGCCAGACTGAGAAATATAGACTGCATCAGAAGGTCAGCCGGCAGCAGATTCCTGACACTGTCGGCCGAAATGGCAGACAGGTTCAACGGTAAGGCTATCGGCAGGTTCTCTAACTTTGAATTGTTCTTCGCACCGTGGTCAAGATCGGGAAAATCAGCTAGACTGAGTGTGAAGTTCGAACCATAGATGGCGTTCAAATGGGAATTTATCCGCTGCAAAGATCTCGTCACCAGTGCTTGTGCATGGTTCTCAGCTGGAAAGAAACGGAAACAGATGGTAGAAGGGATATGCAAAAATAGACTGATGAAAGCGAATGTGGGCAATGTCTTCTTCATGGCTGTATCACGTTTCGGGAACTTCCCATTCCGAAAGTCGAGTTTCGTGCTCCGAAGATGGATGCATTCAACTACCGACTGACTGCCTGCCCGGCTGTGTTCTCGCGGTCATGCACGACCATGAAAACTGAGCTCCGCGGTTGCCCTGGAACTTCCACTGTACTATAACTGTCCAATCTTATCGATAAAGTGAGCAGATGGAAGGCGAAAGCCCGCGTCAGACTCTGTAATGTTCGTTGGATGCTTCTTCCTGGGCACAGTTTATACAAACGGGCGCATTTAATTGACGCGAATTTAGCAGTGAGCAGATAGGGTGAAGGTGTGTGATCGTTCGAAATTTACCACGCATCCTTAAAAACGTTTTCTTTACAAACCTGTTCAAGTGCCAAAACATAACCCTGCATGCATGGTCCAACATCAAACTAATCGTTTTCATTTCACATATATCATTACAAAAGGAAAATAATGGAATAAGAACAAATTAAGAAAGACCGAAAGAAAAAGCTGAGTGTTCGATCACCCCTACTTTACCGATATCATAAAATGGAAAATGGTTGACTTAGGACACTGTCCAAAGATTCATTCGGTGTCTTGCCCACGTCGTACCTTCTATAATGTTCCAGCGCACCACCGACCGTCTCATTCCTCCGTAGCGTCACCGCCGGCTTCACGTTCTCTCCACCTACCGAACAGGAGGCCGAGTTCCTGTTTCTCCTCTCCTTCAAGCTTGGTCGGTACAACAGCGCCGCGCTACTCGGGTTACTCACCTCCATAATAGCCTGCAACATACTCGACCGGCTTCTCAATCGCGTCGACCGAATACTATCCCGTCGATGCGAAGCAGCCCTGGCAAAGTTGGCTTTCGCTTGCATGAGATCGTAAGGAATGTCGAGAGCATCCGCTAAGGAGGGTGAAAGTAAGGGTTCGGCGTCCTTACATCCCGGTCCATCGACGAGGTCCTCGGAGCTGGAATTTAATATTGTGCCGAGACCTGTCGAACCGGTTAGGAGCTCGGCTTTCTGATCGCGGTCAAAGGCAGACAGATCACCCATCTTTGCTTGTAGTGTCGTCGTCTCGAAGTAACGAAAGTCGAAGACTTCATCGGGGGTGTGCTCGTCATAGATGTACATGTTGTCGAAGCGTTTCCCCCACAGGATCTCGTTCGGTACGTAGGAAGTTCGAGCTTGAACCGACGCACCTGTTGAGCGACACCATATTTGAGTAAATTGAGAGCCGGTCAAATAAAACGTGGAAGGTCGCTTTCTTGAGTGGCGCACATTTCCGCCAATTAACAGTGATAACTGCGCCACTTGATGTAACGATCTTGTAGGGTAGTACCTGTGGATTCGACGATGCCTTCTAGGATAACGATCAATTCGAAAGCAGCCCGACTGAGGTTCTTCTTCGACAAGTAGTAGAAAGGACTGCTACTGTCGATAACATGCTTGACGGTTGCCGGCCATCCCAGAAAGACTTGGTCGCCGTTCTGGTCGACCTGCAGGTTAATCTCATGTTGATGAAATGGCATCTCCTCGCCTTCGTCAGTCTTCTTCGCATATACCAGGTACGCCTTCAGGACTATTTGAAGCATGAGACTGGTCCTGATGTTAGCAAGCCGGAACAGGAGGACCAGCTGATTATCCCGAGTGCAGATCGTAGCGAACTTGCTGAAGATCAGGGTTTGGCTGCGCTTTTGCGGAACGTGGGTCTTGGCGAGGAGGAGGCCTACAAGGACGCTTTCCAGGAGGACGCTGACCATGCAGCCGGCGCAGAGAAAAAAGATGGTTCCACCACAATGCTCCGTCGGATACCGCGAACCTGTGAGTTAAAAACAATATCATTGGGACGTGGGTAAAATGAACTGTGCCAGATCGCCATCTCCAGTGGCGCACGTACTCAGCTGTTACTAGGTAGCAGCTTGCGCCATTGGGGAAACGGTCTGGTAAAATTTATTTACTCACGTCCCCATTAATCTATTGTTTGTAAGAAGGTTAATTTTACTGTAATAAATCATGGTTAAATGATGTTTGTCGAGTTGAGTAAACATTTGAGATAAAAGAAGGTTCATAATCTAATCGATCGGACTTTGGTCCCAGCGAACAATCAGTCTGGCAAGAGAACCCTGTCGACACTTCAGATTATCACCCATCTAAACTACGGTACCATATTCCCACGTAAAGCGTCGACAAAAAAGTGCACTAGAAGTCACGTACCATAGCCAATGGTCCTGAGTGTCTCCACGGAAAACAGAAACATTCCGGAGAGCGAAGGTCCTCGATCGTCACCCAGCACAACGCACATCGGTCTACTTTTTGTGGAGTTAGAGTGTACGTTGAAGTCTCCATTTGCGTAGGAGATGCCGTAGAATATTCCAGCGAACAGGAACCACACCGTCAAGTAACCTATCAGAAATAAAAGCAACACAGCCGACCAGGACATATCCAGCAAAGTGTTCCAGAAGTCCGTGAGGAAGCGCGACATCCAGTTGGGCACGTTTTTGGGGATGAGGGTGTATGCTCCATCTTTGTACAGTAGACGAGGAAGACGTCGTGCATGGCGGGACTTGTTGTTGACCCTCCGAGTGCGTTGGCGATAGTAGCGTTGTCGGACGGTCTGGAAGTCATGGACGACGGATTCCGTGGGAATGTTTGTGGGCCGACGAGGAAGACTGGAGAGACGGTCGGGCATGACGTGGACGCCGTCCCAGCTTTGGATGCCTTTGCGGAAGTCCATGACGGAACTCGTGGATCCTGGTTCGAAATCTGTCTCCGCGTACCTCATGACGAGAGTTTTTCCAGCATCACAGGACTTTTTCAAAACTCCGAAGACGTTCGGACTACCGAATTGAGAATTATAATTTTCAAGTAAAATCCATTTTCGCTGCTGATCTGGAAGAGATTACTGTAGGAACCTGCAACGAGAATCATAAAACTTATTTTATGCTAAAAATTAAATATACCTGCTGTAAAACGTTTCTCATACAACATCCATTTGGTTGTCGGAAATAATAATGGCGAGGAATGAAGGGTTATTTTGTACTGTACTTTGATCGTATAGTCGAGAGCAGAAAGTCGTTCAACTCATGGCAGACCAGCAGTTGATACTCGAGTTGATAGGCCTGATGGTGGCCCAATCTGCACTTGATATCTTCCAAAAACCCATCACTGCGCATTCTTATCCGTGATACAGATAGTGGAATATTACTCTATCATTTTCAAAAGATCCTTCGCAGCTTATCAAAACGACAACAGACCCTATCAAAAAATATTCCGGTCCTTGAAAAACAGTACGAGGGTCGGCATCAACAGGTTAGACACGCAGTTCTTCACCCTTCAGTCTCTTACTGGCAAGTGTCTTTTTTTGAGACGTCCGTGTTTCTTTCAGGCCGACATTTCGACTTTGTTCATGAAACGGATGAGCGAACAATTTTTGAAGTGGCCTACACCAGGATCAGGGCCAAAGTGGCTCGAACATTCGCGATTGCGCTCTGTACAGTACGCCTACAAGACGCATGGAAGATCAAACACAAAGTGGAGCCGCACAAAACATATTAAAAGTAAATATCTAGACATACTGCACAGTCAGGGCGTTTAGCTCAGTGGTAGAGCGCTCGCTTTGCATGCGAGATGCCGTGGGTTCGATCCCCACAACGTCCACTTTTTCCCTTCGCCCATGGACTTTGGATGTTGCACACGCGGCCAAGTGCGCCGCTTCTTTTGCCCTTATCGTTCTGTACGACTGTACGAGCCGTATGCAAATTAAGTTTATTCAATAAGGCAGAAACCACCCTGGGATGCTTAAGAATAACAATATATACTTAGCCCCTCAACGATTCGTTCGATCTTGATCGAAATAAAACGGAAATTTAGCTATAAATAACCAGATTAATGAAACGAGAAGATACTGTGAAGCTTAACCAGAAACTCGCGGTTCACAGGTTCCTTTCTACAAATTTATCTTTTCAACGAGTATAAGCCATAACTAGTTATGTTTTTACAGAAAGTCCAGCTTGTTCTTAGTTCGAGAAGCAGCACGCGCAGCGCCACCTCGTGCGGCTGCACGCCCGCGACCACGACTACTACTACGAGCAGTGATTATGGTCATGGGCTCTTGTGAGAGAATGTCCTGACTGCGGGATACACCGCGCCGAATGGCAGGTGTTCCGGCCACCGGAAGTCTCGACTAAAACCAGCAAAGTAGCGTCAAGATTTCAATCAGTAGTGTGGTTCAATAATCTAATCTCAGGCCACTTACCTGTCTGGAAATACCCAAAGCAGCTGCTCGCTGCACCACAGAATTCACCGAAGAACCACGGAGCTAAAAGACAGCTGTAATTCGGCCAGAGTTTCCCGACTGCATGATCGAGTATCACATGATTATACGACAATCCGAAAGAACCTTACCGAAGCGTCAATGTACTCGGATTCACTACTATCGACCGAGTAAGCGCGCTCCTGTCGGCTCCGTTTAGCTGACGGAGCGTAGGTTTGTTCAGGTTTGCTCTACAAAGATACGAGTCAAAGTAAGTCAAAAGTTGATAAATCTTCAGGCAAAGTTTCAGGCTTGAAGCATGACTCGGAAAACTGAACCTCGAGAAAGCTCGCCGAACTCACCGCAGGTGGCGCCATGGATGTCATACGAGATTCCTGGGTTCCTTGTGTCGGCTGTGATCGCGGACGCTCTTGTGTCTCTTCTTCCTTGTTGTCTCGCGCCGCTTCCAAAGTGGCCTTTAGTTCTTCAGCCTGGCGAACTTTGTCATCAAGAACTTCAAGTTCGTTCTCCTGTAAGAAGAAGAAAAGGTTTCGCCGTTACTTCTACCGGCAACACAAACACACCGATTCTACCTCTACGGGAGTTTCAACTTACCAGTACACTGTTCTGCTTCGTTTCCTTCTCGATCTGAGCACTATATTCCTTCAGCTGTTTGACAGATCTCTCCTAAAAGATAACGATCGGCTTGGCTTGAAATTTTGTTACGCGGACCGCGGAAACTCCAAACTTACGTAGTTCGCAGCAAACTCGTCGATGGCTTCCCCAACATCATCGAAATCCAAGTCTCGACCCTGTAAGAAAAGCTTACCGAGTCATTTATCGCAGCAGAACATGCTACTCGTAATTTAGGTCATGCTGATCAGCGTACCAGAGCCTGGGCGAGAAGGTCTTTCAGAGCCGTCAAGTTATCCTTGGCTTGCTCCAGCTGCCGATTAGCGGTATCGTGGGCCTTGGCTTCCTTCTGAAAATAACATTAGAACGTAATTGGAGTTTTGAGCCACCAACCTGGAAGAACGTAGACTTTGTAACTATAGAGGCTCTGCTTACCTGGTCGGTCTTTTTCTTCGTGGCCAGTTCTTCCTTCTTGGCCTTCAGCTGGTTCTGAAGTCGGTCAGTCTCCTCTCGCTCAGCAGCGAGTTTCGCTGTGAGTTCTGCAGACTTGGATGCCTAAAAACGAATATCATTTTGAGTCAACCCGTCAGGCTTTAGCTTGGTACTTACAGCTTCTTCCAGTTCTCTCAGTTCTTGCTCCAGACGAGCGTATTCCCCTTCACGCAGGGTAGCTTGACGAAGCTCCGCTTCTTCTTGCGCGATCTGCTCTTCCGCACGCTGGATCGCCTGTCGTGATGCTTCACCCTGAGCCTGCAAAAACCATCTGTCTACGCAAAGGCGATTACTGCGGACAGAAACCTGAGTACCACAAATTCACCTTTAAGCTCGCGATTTCCTCATCGAAAGCTCCTTTTCGAGACGACTGTTTTTCCTCTAAGTCCTTTAAACGGGCTTCTTCCGTCAAAATGCTTGTATTCAGCTCCGTCTGTGGAAATTATCATTTCAAAATTAAGATAGTCCGCTTTGAATTTCATTTGAGGATTGATGAATAACCGAGAGCTGGAAGACAAAAAATGCCAGATCGCTATTACAAGTGGCGCACATTTTCATTGTAGTTGGCCGAAATGGTGCGCCGCTCAAAATAACGACCCTGTACACTATGTTTGCCCAACTCCTAGTTCATGAGATCCGCAAACCGAGAATACGTACGATTTGAGTGGCTTCCTGTTCGACGGCTCGTGTTTTTTCAGCAAGCTCGGCTGCCAATTCTTCCCTATGCATCTTCTCGGCCTCGAGATCACGGAGTAGCTTCTGTTCGACTCCTTCCAGGTTCGCTGTGCTGTAAACAAAGACCAAGATTCATGAATATTTCGTTTTACAGGAAACAGAAACAAGAATACAGACTGTTCGTCAAGGTCTAGTTCTTCCTGTTCAGAGTTGGCCAGTTGAGCTTCCAAAGCGATGATGAACGCAGTGTTTTCTTCCACCATTTTGCGATGTTCGGCTTCCAGGAAGTCGAACTCGGCACGAGCTTGGTTGTGTCTGGCCTGCGCCTCGCCTCGCTGCACTTCCGCATTGGCCACTTCTTTTTTCAGGAGTGCGTTGCGCGCGAAAGCTTCCGCCAGTTCCAACTCTGTCTTCTGCATCTCAGCGGCCTTAGCAGCCAGTTTCTGCCGCTCAGTCTCTGCAAGGACAGGATTTGACCCAACGATACACTTACGTTGATACTTGGACAAATACGGTGATACAAATTACCATTGTTTGTGCGGAGCTCGGTATATTCCTTCTCAAGTTTTTTGCAAGCTTCCTCCAGTTCAGTAGCTTCTCTTCCGGCATCAGCCGATCTCTTCTTCTTTTCTGCCAACTGCGAAACAGAGCTTTCACTCTCAAAATCGTTTCGTAACAATTGCAGCAAATGACAATAAGTCTAAGTGATGGAGGAGTAGTAGAGTATACCTCCGCAAGAAGCGCCGACAGCACGTCCTGGTGGTTTAAGGCTTGATGCTGCTTCGCTTTGACTAGGTGGGTTTCAGAAAGTAGTGACCGACCAGAAGAACGAAACGATGCGACTGAGGTTTGAAACTTACTTTCATCTTCGATCTCCGCTAGTTCATCAGCGTACTCCAGTCGAATTTCCTCAATCTGACCCAGCAAAACCTGGGAAAGAAAACAAGAAATCAATAACGGTTCTTTTTATACAATATAAACAAGTCAGTATATGGAGAGGTGAAGTGGAGAACTTACTTCCAATGCGTTGTTACGAGCTTCATCTTGTACATCTGCAGTTTGTCGGATACGTTCCACTGCAATAAAGTCCTCACTCACTGACCTAAACCTTTGCACCTACAGACTATCTGAAGAAACTAGAGGCTAGCAGTTGAGACTAGAAACGTTTGACCATACTTCGTCGTGTTACTTCCGCCAGAGTTTCCTGATCGTCCACCACGACATCGATCTGACGTTGCAACTCTTGCATCCTACGAGTCACGTAGTTTCAGATTGATTTTCATACTCCAAGCTTTGAATGTGCGGAGAACTTACTTGGCAGCTGTTTGTTTCCGTCCTTCGATCTCACTGGCCAGGATGACATCCAGTGCGACCTTCTCGGCTTCGGCAGCTCGAACTTGGGCTTGGTGGAGTTCGACGTTCGCTTTTATTCGAATTATCTCCTCGTCCTATAACACAAAGTTCTACCATTGGTACGGCCGAGACCTTGACAGTATTCACAAGGAGAAGAAAACTAAGCTGACGAACCTTATCGCAAAGAGTCTGTTTCCACGTTTCATACCAGGCCTCCATTCGCTCCTTCTCTTCCAGAATAGCCGCCGAAGTTATCTGCTCCGTTCCGAAAGCTTCATCGAAAGGCGGTGCCCACTGCATCGCCTGTTGATCAGCTTGCTGCATGCTCTGCTGCTCCTCTGAAAAAGGAAACATTCAACTGGACAGGAAGGATCAACAGGTCGGTGGGCTTCTCGTTGCAACGGTAAACCATGTTTGAACCTTGCTGTTGTTCGTGGTATTCCATCATCTTGGACTTCCTCGTCGGTCCTTCTGGATGCGAGAACTGCGATAAGGATCTGTAAAACCGAAGACGGTCAACGCCAGAAGACTTCGTCAGGACTGATATCGATATCATAGAACTTCGTCAGCGCTCGGAAGTCGCAACCACTGATGTGCTGCTGAACCGCGCGTTGCTGGAGAGCGAAACGCATGATCAAGCTCTTGATTGTTTACATCTGCAGCGGAAGTGGGAAGGGCAACACGTCGGGTGACCATTTACAAGTTAAAACTGTACAAAGCGGACAAAAGTCCAATCAGCAAAAGAAAACAATAGTACATCCAGGGTCGAACGCGGTATCACGCAAAAATCAAAGACTCCGTCCAGATATGGAAAACAACACGGTGAACGTATAGAGATAAAACAAAATTCAAATGAAAAAGTAAAACGAGTATCCTGACTTAACGTACCGGTCAGCTCCAGCTGTTCCGGCGGCGATGGCCCAGCTTGTTTGGCGATGTTCAGTGTCTTTTTGGCCTTCCATAGTTCCCTCCCTTCTCCGCCATATCCGCCGAATCAGCAGTTGCTGATTGGTACTTCATGCCCAGATACTGCAAGTAGCCTAGGGCGATGGCCGCGAAGCACAGCATGCCTGTCGAACCCGGTCCTAGGGTAAGGAGGAATTCCGGCGACGTTCCTTTGCAGGATGTTCCTGCGCCGAATTCCATGCCGGCAACCTTCGAGTAAATCTTCACGGACGGAGGAGGGCATTTTCCATCACCAGTGTCCCCGTGCTTGGCACCACGATCCTTTCGATGTTCCAGGTCGTGCTCC